GGGGTCACGGCGGTAGAGAAGGTCCGGGGTACGAGACCCCTCCCGCGGGGGCCTGTGGTCCGTTAGCGGTAACGAGAGCCGAGATTGGGAACCCTCTTTTTGCCACCGCCCTTTGACCAGCGCGGTGCCGGTACGTGAGTTAAGGGACCCGCAGCTGGATTTAGACATTGAGGAATGTATTAAAACTACAGGGAACCAGCAGTAGTGAACTCATTCCTGTCGGTTCTTACCGTGTGTCTCCTTTCTAGGGAAAATGATTTCTGAAAGCAGCTCCTTCGTGAAGGGGGTGGTGCTAGGAGGAGCCTTCTGCATGGTGGTTACGCTCCTCGGACATATTAAGGTGGGCCACGGGACTAAAGCGCATCACCACGAGCACCACCACATCCAGGCTCCCAACAAAGAAGATGTCTTGAACCTTTCGGAAGGTGAACGCGTGGAGCTTAGTAAAAGTATCCGCATTTATTGTATCATCCTTGTGAAGCCGAAAGATCTGGGGCACTGGGCTGCAGTGAGAGAGACATGGAGCAAGCACTGCGACAAGGTGGAATTCTACAGCTCTGAAAACGTCAAGGTGTTTGATTCCGTAGCCCTCAACACCAACGACATGTGGGTGATGATGAGAAAAGCTTACAAGATAACGTATGAACGCTATAAAGATGAGTTCAGCTGGTTCTTCCTTGCATATCCGACAACATTTGCTATTATTGAAAACCTCAAGTATTTCCTACTGAAAAAAGACCCCTCGCAGCCTTTTTACATAGGCCATACTGTGACATCTGGTGACCTTGAGTACGTTAATGGTGAGGGAGGAATCGTCTTAAGCATTGAATCCCTAAGACGACTCTCCCGTGTTCTCGAAGACTCTGACAAGTGTCCGGAGCAGGGAGGTATGATTTGGAAACTTGCTGAGGATAAACAGCTAGCGATCTGCCTGAAGTACACCGGAGTGTTTGCTGAGAATGCGGAAGATTCCGAAGGGAAGGACGTCTTTAACACCAAATCAGTCAGTGCGCTCATTCAGGAAGCCATGGCTACTCACCCTCAGCAGGTGGTGGACGGCTGCTGCTCTGACACGGCCATCACCTTCAGCGGCCTGACCCCGAACCACATGCACGTGATGATGTACGGCGTGTACCGGCTGAGGCCCTACGGCCACACGTACAACGACGCGCTCGTCTTCTTGCCGCCTGCGGGCTCAGACAATGACTGACGGCTCCTCAGAGACCTGGAGCCAAGCAGTCGGCTCCTCTCTTGACATTTGTACTGACAGATTTGATTTTTGTATCTGGTGGTACCGGTGTACAATTTCTTTTGCACATTGAGGTTTGGTAACGCTTTTAATTTTAAAAGTGGAAGGAGAACTTTTTTCTAAAATCTTTTATACAGAAATGCCAGTGCTGGAATGAAATGATAAAATAAGTTGTTAATGTTTATGATAAAAGGAAATTAAGTTTATAGGGGGGGTTTGTACATGTAAATATTTATTAATGAAAACTCAAATGAACTTTAGTCTACTGTTAAAAATATATTTTTGCAAGACTTTGATTCTTTCAGTTCTTCCAGGCATTTCTAGAATGTCTTTATATCTTTCTAAGATGCAACAATAAAAATGACTACAGATTCAGTCTCAAAGACCCAACTACAAGCCATTTCCTTTACACCAAACTAGCCACCAGCTTGCGCTGGGCTGTGTATGTAGCACCTACTACTTTCTTTACTGGGTTAGGAAACCGTACGTAATGAGCAGGAAGCAAGTGCTCAAGAGACCTGTTAGGAAGTTGCAGCAGAGGAACATTAAGTGACCTTTGGACTGCTGATTTTCAGCAGACAAAAGAAAGAGATAACGATATTTGAGTCAGTATTAACATGGTCAGGTAGCCTGTTAGCACAAGAGTAATTGCTCTTTTAAAATTTCACTTCCTACCTAAGTGTATTAGAATCAAGGTTCAGTATTATTTTCACTCCTGTCAGTGGTGCCGATAGTGGTGGCAAGGAAGTTGTTGGTGAACTATCAGTGCAAGTGTGGTGTTGACAGACTTGCAGGTATTTCTAACACCGAGGTGCAGAAAGACCCAACACGTGCCTGCGCGCCCAACCTTTCTTTGAACGTGAGGAGAAAAAACAGGTTACGTGCACAACAGAGCAACGCGCAGAACCCAGTACCTGTGGGGTGGTTTTGGTGGGTTCTTTTTTTTTTCTTTACAATCATCAAATGCACTTGAAATCAGTTTTATGCATGTTACCAGGTCACGCTCCCTTCCAGTCACAGCAAGGTATTTACTCCATCTGGGATTCACTGACCTGACCGGGACGTTTCAGGCCTTAAGGAAGGTGCTACATCTGTCTCCTGCATCTAGGACTGTGCTGGTACTACAGCATCCCTGAAAGACGGATGCTCTCACCTTTCCTTGACAGGCCACGTGTAGTGTCTCATCCTAGCCTGAGCTGCAAGGGGGCAGGTGGGGAAGCGCAACAGCTGCTTCAGACCCGAGGAGAACATCCACAACGTTTTAAGCACCAGGTCCTTCATTTTTGACAAGAATGGCAAGACAACCACTCAAATCCCCAAGCAACCTACCACAGCCCAGCTGTTTCTCAAGCTGCTTCCTCACCTTTTGCACATTCTCCTCCGTCCACGTCAGTCAGAGCTCAGCTGACAGAGCAAGACAAACACGTAAGATTGCTGCCAAAACTAGATAAAACTTAAGCTAGTATTTTTGACATTTTGCTAAATTGGTGTGCAGATTCATTTAAGCACGATTTAACTTGTATCTTGTTATAGAATCCTTTTTTTAAAAGGTTAGATCCACAGTTGGGAGTACTCTGACAAAGATGAAGAAAGTAAAATTTTGATTCAGTGGTTTCTGATATTAAAGACAGTTCTGACCCCACCGCAACTGACAGCTGTCATAGGGCAAGTCATGGAAAAAGGAGTTAACAATTCAGAATAAATCTCATTTTTTACAGATCAGAGAGGTACTGTAACACAACAGGAGCAGACAAGATGGAAGGGGGAAAAGCAAGCCACAGAACTCAAGACTAGCTCGTTTTGTGCAAACAAGAACCACTGAAGCACAGATTCCCCATAGCACTAACAAGAAATTAGTACGTTTATAGCAGAGTCTTTAAAAAGATGCATAAAAGTGTCCATTAGCATTCTGCAGGGAAGGTCTGAGGTGTGACCAAACTTTTTTCTGCAACACTGCTGTCATCATCACCTTAATTTTTGCCTTCCTACATTAATAAATAGTTTCAGATTTACCCTGTCATTTTCTAAAGTACCATCTTTGAAATTTCTCCTGTAAAATAATTTACAAGTAGCACATACTAGGTAACACACTCCATCTCCCATGTCTCAACTGGAGTTTAGCATCAGATGGAGAGCACCTCTGCTACCATCTGCTGCCAAGGTCCCCAGGCGGGGAAACCCAACCTGCAGAACAGCACCGAGACCAGGCACTTGCGCACAAAATCACGTTCCGCCATTCTCAAATACAAGTGTTAGAACAGACTTGAAATATTAATAAACGTTTCCAGAGACAGAGTTGTGAGTGGTAGACCTTAAAGTTTTCTTAGTTTATTACACGATTCCATGGCACAGGCTGTTTTCCATAGGCACAGCTTTGGGTGTGCAGTCGCTGAACAGTCAGATTATCCAGGCAAAGACACAGTGCTCTTTAACCCGCTCTGCAGGCGTACACACACGCGTGGCAGCGTGCACAAGCCGAGATCTCTTTTGAAGTTCCACCTGAAGAAGTCGCTCCTGGCTACACTGATAACCGTGCTTTGCTATCATGCCTTTGTTAAACAGTGATTTTGTTTCTGCTCCTAAAATAAGGCGGCAAACAGGGAGTAGAGCATCAGGCACCACGTTGGCACACACTCCATTTCGAGTATGCCCACCATTGCTATAAACTCCACTATATGGAGAGTGATATCAAACAGTGTTGTCAGGTAGAAATGTGAAGATACATATTCTTCAGCTATGAACTAGCATAAAAGAATTTCTAGTCCACATACCAGTCTCACTTCATAAATCCTATACAGATAAATGCATATTAAAAGAGCAAATCTTTAAGTAAAATGCTGGAGTTAATGCTGTTAATAAATTAAGTTAAAAAATAAACATCAAAAAAACCTGATTTCTCCACATTCAAGAAACAGGTAGACTAACGAGATGTTAATCAGAAGAAAAAAAAATCTGAGATGTTTCAGAGGTTTTATAAACCATACTGATTATATTTCACTTACACTTTGTATTACTCTTTTAGAAGAGCATAAAAATGTAAACATTTCTTGGCTTTTTCCTCCTGTTTGAAATAGTCTACTCACAGTCCATGCAGGATCCTTCCATGAGACATCTTCAGTCACTGAAGACTCCGGTTTAAGACAAAACAGAAGAATTGTAATAAAAAGAAACCTAGAAAACTATTGTAGCCTAACAGTGCTTTCGCATTCACTTGATTTATTTAGCATAGCCACAGAACAAAATAATTTGTACATTCAGTCACATTAAAAACAAGGAATTACAAAGCAGTCCACATTTAATCTAAGTGCATTCCTTTGGAGAAACACAGTTCCTTTTGTTTCACTTGTATGTCTTCATGTGCCAAAGGCCATCATTTAAATAGTGGATATTTTCGATACCAATCCCTTTGTTGACCTTCTCACTGTCGAAGGAGGAAAGAGGTACAGAAGTGTTAGCCAGGTTAAATATTAGAGCTGCACAAAACAATATTTAAAGAAGAAAACGCAACGTTTGTCAACTAGAAGGGGAGAAGTTATCATCCACCAAGTCATAACCTTCAGCAGCAGGTGGACAAGAAACACTATTTGTTACTAAACGTACCCACATTGCTGAGCGATAAGAGGACAATATTTGCCTTCCACGTTTTGTCAACAACCTTCCGCGGTATTTTTAACTACTTCTTTGTGGAAGGCAGTTCTTCAGACAACACTTCTGCTACTTCCCTTAATTTTAGCATTTCTCTATCAAAGTAGCACAGCGGTGGCAAGTGACTCTCCCGCTCCGAGCACAGGAGGGGGTGTAACATGGCTGGAATGTGGAATTTGACAAGTCTTGGTTCCAGGTGTGCCACTGACACGATCAAACGCAGGTGAGCTGCCTCGCTGCTAGTTGCAGGACATCTACCCACTTAATAAAGAATTATAAATGCTAAATTTGTGCACCAAGGACTTGCAGCGTGTTACAGACATACTATCCTTCTGGATCTTTTGAGTCATGTCATCTTTTTTCCAGTACATTATTTCATGGAAAAATCTAGTTTTGTCACAATAAACAAGACAAATCTCATCATTCTAGGACTGAGAACAAGTTTCGTTTCCCTGGAGAATATAATTTACTGTATTGACACTAAGAGTTCCGTTACTTATACAACTTGTCCAAAAGTAATCAGGAAGGAAAATAACTGCACTAACACACCATGTATCATAATCACACCAAGTGACCAAAATCACACTGTTTCACAGTTTTCTGGTTTAAAGAGTATCACACAAAAAGGCATGCTAACGGGCTGCATAGATCAGTATCGTTTTCCTCTCCAGCTCATGTTGCTTCTCGTGGAACAGGATATTCAGCTGCAAGGCTGATGAGTTGGGACATTAGGACTAGGAACACAGACAATCCTGGTTTGCAGGGATCACAGCAGACCACTGCAGATGTAGGACTGGGACAAAAGTAGCTGTTCTTCCCACCCACTCTTGGAGTCTTTTGAAGGCACTCCAAAGAATCCTGAGGAATGGAATTCCTCCACAGCTACAGCAGGTCCATATCCAGGTTGCTGCAGTCCCTGTAACACCTTCCCACCTCTCTCCCTTGTGCTACCATCACGAGGTAGGACCGCAGAGGGACCCGGTACAGAAGATGATCCTGCTGAGAATGAGCCCCACAAGAAGTGACTCGTTTTCACCAGAATCAGCTCCCTCACCCACAGAAGTGCTAGATGGGGCTGGAACCAACACAGCCCAAACCTGCTGGGTGCCTCTTACATCCTGATGCGAGACGTTACAGACCTTAAAACGCCAATTAGCACTATCTGAATCCTAGGAATGACTAACACCCATTTCCATTTTCTGTCTCTTTTCCTTCTCAAACAGTTTTCAGTCGATGTTTATCCCCTGAAGAGATCTCTACGTTTCACAAGAGGCTCAGCTAAGCTAGTAAGCACAT